TTCACAAAAAATAATTGAATATCAATTCAATAAAAATTTAATTAATAAAAAAAACATTTAACTTAATTTGTACATAAGTACAACATAATTTAATTTCAGTTTGCAAAATAAGATATTTCTATTGACCGAATGAAATTATAAGGTTTTTTATAACAGTATCAAGTGACGGGACGAACAAGTCGTGCACCTGATGGTAAGCGACACGCCTGTCCATTTGCAGGCCACACAGAGCTTTAGCACAGATTAGAGGGCACTGCCACTACGCCGCCGGTCACCCTGAAACATAAGTTGACAAGTCCCATGTGCCTGTAATTTCACCAGCACCCTTATCCTTCAAAACCGAAACACAGTAACGCTGACATTACTACATGGCGGCAGAAATAGGTAAGATGGCAGTACTACCTGGACGAACACTTTCATAACGAGCTCTATTGCTGCTAAACCTTCATTGACTTACAAATAAATGGACGACGGGTCTAATACAAAAACCACGAAAAAAATGTCCCAAGCCAACCTATTTAAACGTAGTGACATGTCAAGCAATATGAAAAAGCTAAAACGTTGAATTTAAATTGTAATGTCATCGCAGTACTGTCTAATTTTGCTTGCTTCGCTGTCAGTCGAACAAACGAAGACTAAAGCGTGAATGGCGCTCTGTATACGATTTTAACGCCCTATAAGTTCGGACACTTTTTAGCGCGGACCCGACGTCCATATAATTGTAAGTCAATGTAAACCTTACTTCTACTAATCGGCAAGATTTGAGACCCGGTTCGAAATCGTGGCTTACATGCACCTAATTCGTCGCTGATTTTGCGACAAACATTATTACAATGTTTGTTGCTTGAGATTGAAATGGATTCTCAGTAATTATTGCTACCAAATCGTTATTTTCAAGTGAAAAATGTTGTATTCTATTCTATTTCCTTAATGGCGGCCACAAGGCTTGGACCAGTGTCAGTTTCGATGTGAAAAAAACTTAGCAGACAACCATTTGACACAGGTAATTATTTGAATTGACATGTGACAAGTTAACATTGCCATGTGAAAGTCGTTAAATTTTTCTAATATATGATGCCATGAGATTCTGGTATACGTATATAAAACGCTGTACTGGAAGTAATTGTTTTGTTTCAACACGATAGAGTTCTTGTAGTACTTTCGTCGAGGATGGCAACAGAGATTGATGACCGAGTTTTCAATAGATAACATCACAAAAAACTACAAAACCCTGTTCAGTTTCAGTATCATAATTATTAACCCTTTATGCGTACCACCCCTAGTCACGAGTCTAGTATAAGCAAAGACCCATCGCTCGCCAACCTGGCCCAATGTGGGTTGGCGACATCACACGTTATCCAATGGTTACGACTAGGGCATGCAAACCAATTACTCGGTTAACCGAAAAAACCAAGTAACCGTCAGTTTTTCGGTTTTATTTTAAAAATATTAAAACGTAAATTCGTAACTCAATATATCATCATAACGTAATTAATAATGATAAATAAATGCTAACTAAATGCTAGGAACTCGGGTACCGGACTACAGTGCAGCAACAGCGTTCGCAATATGGGTGCAGGTAACTTTGGATAACGAGAGACGAGTGAAGTGCTCGTGCTCAGTAATAGAAAGAACAACTTTTAAATAATCATTTTGGTTAAAAAAATGTGCTTATGTCTTGAATTATGCATATTTATTTTAAAATAAAAGTGTTGTTGATTTATTTTTTATAATAATTCCAAAAGTTGTTTGATCTCATTGCAGCTGTGTATTCCATAAATAATAAAAATAATGTAAAAAAACACCACCGATTTCCTGTCTTTTTGACTTTCCTGACACTTTTAAAGAATTATTTGGGTGACAATAGAAAAATATCCGAAAAAACCGAATTATACCGAAATTAAAATCGAAAAATCGGTTCTGAAAATCACGGTTTTTGCATGCTGCCCTAGTTACCCTAGTTGCCCTAGTTACGACCGTTCATCACGAAAATTCACAAATATACATATGTTGCCTTCACAGGGAACCGAACCGTAGATCACTCAACTGGGCCCTATTCAGTGTGTCCGTTTTCAATAAGTCGACTGCCTTACAATCCAGAATGTTTAATAAAATTACGTAAAAATCGATTTCCGCAATTGGACTTGGATTTCACGCTGTCTTTTATTCCGGTACCATTAAAAAAGATATTCTATTCTATTCTAAGCGATGTCGCTAGATGGCATTGACAGTTTCAAAGCTATTTCTAAAACGCGATATTAAGATTTTCCCGACGACGAATTTCGAGTTCAATATGTATACGGCCAACGTTGCCACTTTGGCCTTTTTTTGGCCGAAGTCTACTGATTTCTGCCCAAATCAGTAGTCTGAATCTGAATCTTCGAGGTACATTGCATTATTATATAATAATATATAATAACATAGAAGATACAGACAGTGATTGACCAATATAGCATGTACTGAACGTATGTTTGTGTGTTTTACTTTTACTAATTTGACTTATTAATACTGTGGACTTGTTTTTTTTTTACACACTATATGCTGGAAAAAATTTACTCTTATTAATTCCTATTAATATTAAAGGTGCACTTTTATTTTTATTATATATGGAAGATAAAATAAAAAGATATCAATCCACAATTTTTAAAAAGGATTATACTCACGTGTTTGAAAATATGTTTTGGCGCATGTTAGTAATGTGGATTAATTAATGTAGTTCAGAGGCTTAGTGTGAAATGGAGACTCATAATCAAATGCTAGTTAAGTGTAATTGGACTATCCCCGACGATAAGGTTATATAGCAATTGTATTGAACACTTATAAGTGTTTGAAGGTAAGTTCAGCATGTACTGTATTTTTTTCTCAATCTACTATTGTTTGGGTGCAATATCTTACGATTTTTTTCAGATTTAACCTGGCAACACTGTTTAAGAATTGTGTACATTGGATGTTTAATAGCGTACGGGTTGTATACGAGCATCTACTGGATCTTCCGTTTCGACTTTTTAACCGACTTCAAAAACGGAGGAGGTTCTCAATTCGACTGTATGTTCTTTTTTTTTGTATGTATGTTACGCGATAACTCCGGTCTTTGTGAACCGATTTTCATGATTCTTTTTTTGTTGGAAAGGGGGTACTTCCACAGTGGTTCCATTTCATTTTGAACAAAATCATCCACCTCGAGGGGTGGCTGTTCACGCATGAAGATTCACTTTTATAAATAGCGCCTAACTTCAATTTAGGAGCAATTACTTTATTGGTTGATTTTGCTATTTCTTCCATTCAAGGCGTTTTTCTCTCAATATACTTTGAGTAGTGTCGTAGTGAGAAACTATTTTTATTATCTCCAGTATCAAGTCCTGTATAGTGGCGAACTATATATTTTAATAAAACTTAGCAAATAGACGTAATTCCACGTATTTTTGAGGTCGGTTTCTTTAGTACTCTGTACTGAGACTATTTGTACAACAGTCAATAAGCTTTTGTTTATCTTTTATTAAGTTCATTTTGAGCCCTTGCTTAAACTTCTGAATCCCGAAACACTAATTTACTTAATAAGAGATATAATAAACTTACTGCCTCTCTGAGGAATCTGGGCCGCTGAAACAACAAACAAACATAATATAATTAGTTAAATTACCAAATCGAATGAAAAGTTTTATTAGCTAATCCTAATTTTATAACTATTTGAAATCTAAAGACAACGATCATGCCTCTAAACACCGAGACAACTACAAAATTATTCCAGACTTTTGTAATAAAAAATATTCAATTGCATTGCAACTAGATAGAAGTTATTAAAGATTTTCTTTTTAACTCGTCAGAAGCAAAACGCATTCTTTATGAATTGTCTTTGAGATTGATCGAGATGAAAATAAACACTCGACTCACAAAGGGCCTGTTGAAAGCCCAGATTACACATAAAAAATTAATGTGAAATCAAACAAATAAACTTGTAGTACAATATCATAAAACACAAAATTGGCGCCCAACAAGGGACTTTTAAAATATATCTGTCATCTCATTTATCTATTCTAAATTGGACACATTGATATGGACTTACATGAGAAATCTATTTTTCGTTCATCGAAGAATCAATACAGAACAATGGCTTTTATTGCATTAGGGGTAAGGTTTAAATCTCCAACAATCTACGTTTCTTTACACTGATATATCGATACTTCGTCTGATTATGAATTCTTCTACACTAAAGGCCAACTTTATGAACAAACCACGCAGTTTTTATCATCATAAAATCAAGTAAGTCCATCCCAAAACGTCAGTTAAAATTTAAACATCAAACGTATTATCAAAAACGCATACCTGGCGACAATGTAAACAACATTAACAAAGGGTGGAATCCAGGCACCTAAAAATCATATAACTATAGCAGCCCGGGCGAGGAAACCAAAAAAGGAGAGGGGAGGGCAGCGGTAGCAGTCTAACATACATCTTGGCTTCTTGAAGCTAATAAATACTTAATACACTTACCTACATCTAAGGAATATATTTAAAAAGTATCTAACAGTTATTTTCTTTGTGTAGGCAGTATCTTTGCCAATGAATTTGTTAAAATTATAACCGACTCCAATGAAAAGGGGTTGTCACTTAGTATTCATGTTCTATGTACAATTTTACAGCTCCGACAGATGTATTCGATTCTTTTTTTGGGAGAACTAATAGTGAAATTTGAAGCTCCGATTAGTATATAATAAAGTCGGTTTTTCTGCCTCGGAGCCGACTTTAAAGGAAGAAAAACAAAGGAAGGATACTGCCTATCCAAAAAAACAAACATCTAGAAGAGCAAATGTCTATACATTTTACACATTTATTTAAAATAAATATAGAAAAAAAAATTTAAAAAAAAACCATTCATTCTTTTGTATCTAAAGGCTTGTCACAAAGCAATCTGTTGGAATAAAACACTTACATAATACTATGGATATATTTATATATGTATATATACTATATGTTTTTACCTTTGCGACAAGCTATTGACGAATATAATATACCTATATGAAACCAAGTCCACTGCTACGCAGCCATGGATACGGGAGAGGATAGATTTTGGAAAAAAACAAAAATAAAGCCTAAAAATTGCCACACAAAATGGCAACTCCTCGGCCTCGGTAAAACAATGGTATAAATATTTTTTTTAACTATATACAAAAAAAAAATTGTGTTAATAAACGATTGTGATATTAAACTTTCAGCCTGTGTTTAAAAAAAATGGAAAAAAAATGTGTATTAAAAAGGATGTCTTAATTCAAAACTGAATTTTTGAGAAATAGTTAAAATTGCAAAACTTAACAGCTTTAAGTTAGAAAAATAACAGTTTTTGGAACAATTTTTTAATCAGCGCATTATTTGCACTATTTACTTGGTTAAAAGGAGGTGGGAATCAGGTAGGAAGACAGGAACGAAATCAACATTGGGGGGGACTCACAAGCTAGACACATCTCCGGCCGGTTCGTACGCCGGGGGGTCCCAAGGGGGCGGGGGCCCCGGGTAGGCCGGGGGACCAGCGGGGCCGTGGCCCCCTGGAGAGGGCTGGTAGTCTCTGGGCTGGAAAGCCTGTGGTGGCATGTTGTTTACATTGTCGCCTTTACTTTGGTGCTGGTTTGGCGCATCTGAAAGCATTATTCTTTTATAAATTTGTTACTTTTCATCCAAATTTTTAACAACTTCAAAGAAAGAGATAGACTTAAGAGTCAAGTCGTCTCAGACCACCTCACCCAACCTTCCTGTTACAGGAGCACTTAATTCATACATCAAAGATGACTGGACTACTTAAGAATATCATAAGGGTTATTTGGTACATAACAACTGCGGCTTAGGTGAGAACAATAACAAAAAAAATGAGAAAATAGCCTCTGGTTGTAATGGTTCATTTATGAGGACAATGGCAGACAATCATACCAATTATCTGACCACAAATTAGGTAATTTCGTGTACTATATGAACCAGAGTAACGAAATTAACTCCGCAGGCAATAACAAGAACAAACACACCGGGAATCGAACCGTTCACATCAAGCACCCATAGGACTATCACTATTGTCAATTGAGGACCCTAAAACCATAGAAGAAAAAACAATTGAAGTGCTTACGCCTAGATTGATACCAGAACCGCTGTCACTAAAACTCACATATTCATAATGTGAAAGTCGTGTAATTTCAAATTTAAAAAGAAATAACAAATTAAGGACTTTTAACATAATTTAAAATTTACCCTCTTGGCATATCATTGAAAGCAATACCTATTATGGTAAGTTACGATGTTTTATTATATGTGCTGCCATCTAGCGGTTAATAGCTGAACGAAGACGAATTCGAGACGTGTACTTAGTTCTCCAAAAAAGAAGCAACTATATTGCAGAGGTATAAGTTTTACTTTCATTTCTTGTAACAGAGAAATGATTACGACCAGAGCACCCGAGACGGCCAACTTTTACTCGGTAGAAGTCCGGGAAGAAAAACCTCTCAGATGCCGCGGCGGAGAGGTATCCTAGGAGGATATCCGCACGAAAAAAAACTTTTCAGATATGTAAACTTACATACGTTAAAATTTTTAATTAAACCTTATTCCTCTAAAATTAAGATCTCAATAAAATACTATGTTTTGTGTTTGAATGATTACAAATTTCCACTCAAGCCTCTGTACGTCTGGCGAATCCTGGGCAACAATCGGCTAGTACGTTACGCCACCATGATGATAAGCATTACAATTTATGCCATCGATAAAATAAGATAAAAAAGTATCCACATTTGCTTTTGGTATTTTTGATCACGCCCTTTTCAAAAGGATCAAGAACGTGTATTTTTTTTTATAGTAACTAATTAACGGGATGAACAAGTCGCGCGCCTAAGCGACACGCCAGTCTATTCCCACTAGTTCCATGCACGGAACTTTTGGATTTCAATTGTCCCATATGGAACTGAGTACATGGAACTATAGGGAATAAATCAATTTACTCCCACTACGTAAGGCTATATTGACGTACTTTTAGAAGTTTTAGAGCATGAGAAGTGAAAAGAATAGACTATTTTTTTTTATGGAACAAGTAACGGGGACAAGTCGTGCGTCTGGTGGTAAGCGTCACGCCTGTCTATAACAGTTGCAATACCACTCAAGGGCTTCAAATCACAAAAATCTGGGGGCATTGCCAGTGCGCCCGTCACCCTGAGATATAAGTTGACAAGTCCCATGTGCCTGTAATTTCACCAGCACCCTTACCCTTCTAAACAGGAACACAGTACTGCTCACACTACTGCTGGCCGGCTTGCCACGTCACAATCTCGTAACATTTACCACGTCAATAGTACAAAATTTCTTATCTTAACTAAATTTAAATATTTGCACATATACACAAAATTAAAATATAAATTTAATAATAATAATAAAGAAACTGCATAAGTAATAAATTATGAATAGAATATAGGTTTTTTTAATGTCAAAATATTCGTCAACTTTATAGAATGGATTTTCAATTATTTATTTTTTTAATCTTTCTTTTGAATTCTTACGTGGGTAGTTCATTGTATAGTTTTATCTTAAACAATAACCTTGCTTTGCAGTTCTATTCAATCTTGGTCCTTGTACAACATGGCAATGGTATATTATAACATAAGTAACATAGTTAGCTCTTTCATAGCCTAACAAATTTGAATGAAATTTGGAATGTTTCTAGTAAACGTAAGTCAAAAGGGAAACGTATTTACATTGACTTACAAATAAATGGACGACGGGTCTAATACAAAAACCATGAAAAAAATGTCCCAAGTCAACCTATTTAAACGTAGTGACATGTCAAGGAATATAAAAAAGCTAAAACGTTGAATTTAAATTGTAATGTCATCGCAGTACTGTCTAATTTTGCTTGCTTCGCTGTCAGTCGAACAAACGGAGACTAGAGCGTGAATGACGCTCTGTATTTTGTGTATTTTATTATTATATTTATTTCTAATTTCCTTTTGATTAATAAATCAAATTTTATTAAAAAACTCATATTGTTAAAATAAAATATGTTCGGAATCGGAATGTTCTTCAGTAAACTATAAATAAGTATTATTTTTTCGGATCTAAAAATCCAGAAACTCGATAACTTGATCCGTAGCTCCGTTGGTAAGAGCAATGCGGTGTAGTATGGTCGTGCGCTCAAGTCCAATCCGGGGGTCTACTCTCGATCTCCGTCCGACATCCGTCCGAAACAATTACTGCCAAATAAGCAATACTTGACCAAATGAAAAGACGCGTGATGCGAATGAAGCTTCATACTAGATACTTGTCTTTTAATTTTGTCGCATATTACTTATTTGACAGTAATTGTTTCGGACGGATATCGGACGGAGATCCAGAGTCCCAGGTCGAAACATTTTTAGTATGTGTTGGAACTTTGTATTAATAATGATAACAAAAACTAGTGAAGTTAATTCACAAAAAATCCCAATATTACATTTCACCAAAAAGCGACATCTACGTCAGTAGTCAGTGATATGGTGAAGAAGGTTCTAAAATCTCTCACTAGATGTTACTAGCAGTTTAGAATGCCAAAAAATCCTGTAAACCGTTTACAAAAACACAGGAGGATTACGACATCTCAATAACTTGACCCGTAGCTTAGTTGGTAAGAACAATACTACGGTGCAGTATGGTCGTGGGTTCAAGTCCCATCGGGTCGAAAAAGTTTCTCTATGTGTTCGACCTTTGGACTTATTAATAATCATAATAAAAACTAGTGGAGTTAATTCACAAAAAATCTCAATAGTTATATTATTATTATTTTCCTAACTGGGAATATTAACTGTAGCAAGTTCGTATATAGGAAATGAAACTATTTTTCCGAATATAAATCGCGTATATTTATTTTTTCAAACAAACCAACGTCCCATAGTCACGGATGACTGAAAAAATCGATTTAAATCCGAAAAAATAATTTCATTTTCTATGTGTAACAACGTATATTTTAGAGTTATGTAATAATAATAATTTATTTTGTCCACAAACGTAACAGTTAGATAATATACACAGTCCAATTTATCACAGTATGTTTGCAAGAGCATGGTTCCTAAACTAAGCCGAAGTCTGTAATATAGCTAACCAGGTCCCTCGCCTCGGACAACAATTCGTATATAAATATTGACCAAGAAATATAAATTAATGATATTTTATTTATTATTATATTAGTGCTTAAAAATGTAAATGAGTTTACGAATTTTATTAGATAAAGTTTGGATATGTGGATAGGAGAGATTACAGTCAATAGTGATCAGAGTCAGATACCAGCGGGGGGAAAGCATTTGTGGGCGTATAAATCATGATCTAAACAAGAGAAAAGGGCTGTGTCACGAATAGAGTAAGCTATATATTTGTAAATTTGCGAAACGAAGACCAGATCTCTTCAGAAGAACATTAGCAATAAATCTGAAAAGTACAAGGAAGTGACGGACGGGTGCTAGACTATTGTGCTCAGACTGCACTATTACAAAGAAATTGCTATGACATTATATGGGTATCTGATCTGCCACTCAGAGGTCCCATTTATATCTCTAGTGAGTTTGTTTGTAATTTGTGGTTGTCTATGCGTGTGCCCATGGCATGTCACCTAGGGTTTCCTTAGTATGATGGCTATAAGTGTATGCGTTATTATTATTATTAATTATTAAAATATTCAATAAAAAGCCGAATAATTTGAAAGCACAGTGTAGGGTAACTATGCTTTTGGCAGGAATGTGTTCTATATTTTATTACCCTAACGTAAGTTGAGTCTGCATTGGGAGTTACTGAAAGCCACTAATTTCACTGGTGTATATATTTATTACTTTTATTCCCAAAACGATAGACAGTCACACCGGCGGCTCGCAGTAACTGCCGCACGATGACATTCATGCATCTCGCTCACACTCAAAACTGCTGGCACATACATCACTCGCACACTTACAGAGCCCCTACAACAGCAGACAAATCAAATTGTTCTTGGAAAATGTTTGTACAACGTCAAAGCTCCTAGTGAAAGAGCTCGTCTAGGGAAGTACTGCCTTACCCACTTCTGCCGCCAAGCAATAATGTGAGCATTACTGCGTTCCGGTTTTGAAGGATAAGGGTGCCGGTGAAATTACAGGCACATGAGACTTGTCGACGTCTCAGGGTGACAAGCGCAATGGCAGTATCCCTCAGGTCTTTTCGATTTAAAGCTCTTAGTGGCACTGCAATTGTTATAGACAGGCGTGTCGCTTAGCAGCTGGTTCACGACTTGTTCGTCCCGTCACTTGGTAACATAAAAAAATAAAAGAACTGTAGCACTGTGTAGCACCTATTAAGATCTTAATATTTTTGTGTAATGTAATTGTTATGCTGTGCTGTAATATGCTGCACTGACGCCTTCGAGATGTGCCTGGAGGAAAATATTGGAAGTCTGTTGGACTAATTTTCGTAGGATACTTGGCTTCTGTGGTCACGTTGCCAGGAAATAAGGGCACAACCTCGAACAGCTAATGTTTACCGGACGGAACGACGGCAAACGTCCGAGGGATCGCTGTCCCACAAGATGCTCCGACCAAGTTTGTACGGCTCTCAGCATGGGTCTTCATGATGCGCAACCACTATGCCAAACACCGCCACAGATGCACAG